ATACGGCTTTTTAAGTTCTCTGATTTTCATACGCAGGTCTCACTATATTGGAAAATGTGGTACAAGCATAATGTTACTATAATTGACTTATAATAAAAGGTTTGTAAAAGGATTTTGAATGTAATGCATTTAATAAATGAAGAGGGTTATGATAATTTTGAGATCAAATGTCACGTGGATTGTTCATAGAGATGATTTTCTTTAGTTGTCAGAGCTATTCCTGTAGCTTCGGGGAATTTAACTAAAGGTCTCTCACAATATTCCTCTGTAACATCTACATCTGTTGATTGGTTTATTGACAATTATAATGTATTGGATGATGAATGTAACAATCAGTAATGATCAGAGGTCACTAATTACAAAATATTATGTTGTCTTTCCTCGTAAAAGAAAGGTTTTATCTGAGAGGTTTTCAAAAGCTGACACTATCAGAACTAGATGTACTTTCTCTTGTTAATGAAAGAAGTGCACTTCAAAACAATTAATGACATTTATCCATGTAGCAGATTTCTGTGAATGAGACTTAATTAGGATATTAATCTTTGATATTTCTGCCTGAAAGATATTAAATCTCATCAACATCTTTTTTACTGTACTATTGTTAAAGTGGCTGAAGAAATCACATTCTTATATTTGGTGTCTTTATGCAAAACAAAGAGATTGAAGGTTTATATTTTCAAGTTTTATGTACACAAATGCAGATTCGTTAAAGGCTTCAATTTGTTAAATTAGTTTTGAGGCATTCAAAAATGAATTTAGAATTTTATTTAAATCCTTAAAACAATTAAAAACAAAGTGCCTTCAAACTCTCGGAATGACTGGCAGCACACGGATTAACCTCCACTGAAATGCTGTTTCATTTATTGTTGATGTGTTCAATGGAAAGATGACAAAAAACTAACAAAAACGCTAACCTTGAAATTGCAAACAATTATTATTATTATTATTATATAGTATATAATATATGAAAATACTTCATTAATATGACACGCTGTCAATAGAATATTTTACCATTGGCAACACATTTTTAAATGATGAATATGCGGCTTCTAGTGATGACTTTAATTGAAAGTAAGAATTTTGACCAATTAATACTTTCAGTTAAATGGTTAAAAAAGTAATTTAAAGAAACACTGCACAACAGACAAGTCACATACCAAGTAGCATTTTGTTACATTCAGAAATAATGTAAAATACTGGTAAGCTATAACATTTACAAACATTACAAACACTATAAACATATGGAGAATGTAAAGGTGATGTCACGCCCGTGTTGCATTCTGGGTAATGGTTTTGTTTAGACGCCATGTTAAGAGGATCGCGCTGTCTTTCTGTTAGTCAGTTTAAGGCAGTGTTTTGATTGTCTGTTGTGATTGTGAAAAGTTCTCATCGTAGGTTCCTCCTGCTATTAATAATGTTACTGATTAAACCCACTGCCTATCACTCAATCCAATAATCTACATATTTTATTTCATAATAAGAACAATGTCAAGTCAATGGACAAAAGCACAGCTACAAACTGTAGACAAATGAAAATTAAGAATGTACTTGGCTGTAAACAAAAACATTTAAATTACTTGTAAAAACTGCCTTATGTGCAATTTAATTGTTTGTGCAATAATTTTAAAATACTTAAAAAAAAAAATTATATCAACATTTTAATAATTGGCTGTAAAAAAGTGTTTTCATGACTTATTATGATTAAGACATCACTAACATGTAAAGTAAAAATATAATGAATATGTACAGTGCAGATATGAATGAAAATGCTTCTCTCTAGAGTTTCAAACGAACTTGAAACACTAATTGAGCAATTACATGCCACATGATACTTTTTAGTAAGTTGTTCTATTCTTTCAACATACCTTCTGATGTTCATTCATGCTTTAGTCATGTTTAGTTATGCAATAACTAATAGTAAAGAGGAAGTAAAGACTTTATCTGTCACACTGTTTTAAAGAGTGCAGAAACTACATTTATTTTTTTAAATTGGGAATAAAATCAACAGAATTTGAAAGTTGATAGACAGACTTTGATCTGTAGGTTTATATAACAGAGGCTTGTGGTTATTTCTGTCGAAGGAACCTCCTGCTATTGCTAAAATAATCAAATCAGAGCAGCGGCATGTTTGCCTGCACATTATTAAATATATATATATACTGTATATAAGCTTGTTTATGCAAAGACGTTCATTATGCTTTCTACAAAAAAGTCTGACATGTTTATGTTTTATGTGGCATGAGAACGTGAAAAAGCTACGCTAAATCCGATCTGATCTGATCAGTCAGACAGAAACGATATCCAGAAATGGCCACATACGAATGTAGCTCGAAACGGATTTTCACAAATCGGATTTCATGTTGTTCGTTGCCTTTTAGACCATCTAAATATGACTGGATTTCAACCAGATTTGCACAAAAATCTGATTTGGGCTGACAGTCTGAATGAGGCTTAGTCACAAAGCAGTACTATTTTTAATTTGAGTTTATGTTATTCCGTGTGCATGGAAATCAGCTATGGTTCTCCCTTTGTTAAAAGATGGTCCCATCTGAATTGGATAACTATCAGCCGATTTCTAGGTTATCAGTGTTGACAAAAGTATTTTAATCTTTTGTAAATTAACAAGTAAAACAGTTTTTAACCGAAAATAAAATTGTAAATGAATTCCAGTCAAGCTTTAGCTCAGGTCATAGTACTATTACAGCAGCCATGCTGGTCACAAATAATATTAATAAATGTCTGGATAGTAAACAGCATTGTGCAGCCCTATTTGTAGATCTCCCTAAAGCATTTGATTCCGTAGATCATAAACTTATATTGTGCAGAGACTTAGTTGTGTAGGTTTTAGTGAAATGGCTTAAATTGATTCAATAATTACTTTTTAAAAAGAACTCTGTGTCTCAGTTGAACATTTAATTTCAACAGAACTAAAAAATAAAAAAGGTGTCCAAAAGGGATCTATTTTAGCACCAATTTTGTTTAAAGAAATGTTTTCCTTTTAAAACAAGAAAGAGAATTACACAAAGTTGTTTCCTCTCGGTGTTAGATTACGGTGATGTGGTCTATATGCATGCAAGCTTATCTTCACTAAAATAGTTGGATTATGTATCCATGCTGCCTTATGCTTTGTGACGAGCGCCTCTTCACGCACTTATTATTGTATTCTGTATGAATTAGTGGGATGGTCCTCTTTGTTTCAAAGGAGGAAAATACACATGCTGTTGTTTATTGCCAAGGCATTGTTAGGTAAATTAACAATTTATATTTTATATATATTATATAATAACAACATGTAATTATAGCACTAGATCTACTGCTAAACTTCTTTTACAGGGGTCATGAACTGCCCTTTTTATTGTTTTGTACTGTTCTCCGAGATCCCCTTATAATGTTATCAAGATTTGTACATCAAAAAACATTATTTAGAAGTAATAGGCTATTTTCTGTTCTGTTTTTAAACCCCTTCGTTGGAACGCTCTGTTTGAATAGGCGTGACCCACTGCTATGATTGGCAAACAGTTGTGTATGTTTGACAGCCTACATCCTTCACAGATAGACGCTGCTGTGATTTAGCTCAAAAACGCATAAATACTCATTACATATCAAATGATCTGTACGAACAGACAAAGCAACAGTGACCACGTAATAAATTTAGTTAATGTACTCACACTTGTGAGGTGCGACATTACTGTCAGATTCAATATAGTTGGCACAGCATCGTCTTTTAGTCTCAATCTTTCTGAAAATCCTGCATCGAATTGTTCCTTGTTTGTTAACGAATCAGTGGTAAAATGAAGTGAACAAAGGGCCAAGTTCTTACTGAAGTTCATCCAATCTTTCCTAACATTAGGATCAGAAGGAAGGCAATGCAAAGACTGTTTTTCCATAACTTGGCACAGTACAGCGTCTTGTTGTCTTCGGAGTATCTTTATCATTTGATTTCTGTGTAGACCTGCGTTTGCCTCTCTCATCATTTACACTACATGTGTGAACTGGATTGAGTAGAACATTCCACAAGCTGTCATTTTGGCAGATTGGTTTCAATATAAGCTGTTTTTAGACTAATGAGAAAGTTCTGAGTACAATGACCTCTTATATGTCAACAGATTAAGGGAATTTCAGTTTATCAGTTCATGACTAATGTTCCAAGAGTAAAACTGCCTTATTATTTTTTTTGCTCCCTCATTATGGAACAAGCTGCAGAGTATTGTAAAGAAACACTTCCCTCTTTAAAATTTTCTTATGGTCCAATCTAAAGGAAACGTACTTGTTTTAATTTTTTGATCCGTCACTACATGAATGCAGTGCAAAATTTAGTTAGTCTTATGTGTTTGTAAAACATTTTTTATGTGATTTTTGTGCTGCCATTTTGGTCAGGACTCCCCTGGATGAAGAGATTTTACATCTCAATGGGACTATCCTGCTAAAATAAAGGATAAATAAATAAAAATAATATATATTTAACACTGATGATTTTGATAATTCTTCCACTAGCAACTGTGCTACTAGTCCATTTCATACAAGTAGTATGTAAACACATTGAGCACTGACCATCAGCTAATTGTTTGTTTATTTTGTATCATATCTGTTTGGTGCAAACATATCTAAAATTCATCTGCTCTTATTAAAGACCTACAAATGTGAACAAATGTATAGACAAATGTTTAAAATGACATTCACTCAAGTGATGAAGACTCCCGTCAAATCAGTAGCCTAATGAATGATTGTAATTTTTCATGGAGCAAGTGTAATTAAATAATTCTCTAAGACTGAAGCATAAAACTGTATTATTATTATTATTATTCTTGTTGTTCGTCATGATAAACATTATGATAAGACTGAAACTGAAAACATTTGTCACATACAGAGCCGACAGAATGTTTGTTTCTGCTCAACTTACTTGAGTTTTTCCAGATGTTTGAGTGTTTCAGAGAGCAGCTTCACTCCTGAATCTCCTGGGTGATTGTAGCTCAGATCCAGCTCTCTCAGGTGTGAGGGGTTTGAACTCAGAGCTGATGCCAGAGCAGCACAACCTTCTGCTGTCACCAAACAGTAAGATAATCTACAACAGAATGTGTTCATGTTAGTGTGCTCCATTTTTAGAAATGTACTGTATAAATATACAAGCTTATATTTGAAGTAGGGATGCACCAATACTGATACTGGTATCGGTCCCGATACTGAGCTCCTGTACTCGTACTCGTTAAAATGCCCCGATACCAAACGCCGATACCATGCATGTGTTAAGTGCCATATTCAGACAAAGAAACACCGACAACAGAACAATAGGCAGCAGAAAGGAGTTAAGGATGTCTACTACGAAGTATATGTATGCAATGAATATTATGTTAAACATTCAGTATTAACGCATGTATAGCTGATGTGCGCAAGCTGATAAACAAAGCACGCCGAGTGGATTGAGTCTGGTGAGTTTGCTGGCCAGTCAAGCACACCAACACCATGGTCATTTAACCAACTTTTGGTGCTTTTGGCAGTGTGGGCAGGTGCCAAATCCTGCTGGAAAATGATGAATTACTGAAATAAATGAACTTTTATTGAGATGCACCTGTATAAATGTGTGTGTGTGTGTAAAAATAAAAAATCCTGGATAAGAGAGAATATGGTCGTGCTGCAGAGCAGGGGCAGACTTAACAGTTAAGTGCGGTAAGTGGCCGCTTAGGGCCCCGGGGGAAATCAGGGGGACCTATCCAGGGATGGACTGCAAACGACCCTGGATTTTCTCCCAAATAGGCCCACCACAACTACAAACAGTCGTACTATCTCACAATATTACAGCAATCCTATTGCATTTATGACAAATAACATCACAAAACCCATGGTGACCCTGCTGACAAAAACAATAGAAACCATCACAGAAATTCTAATGATTTCCACTACAAATGCCATTACAGACATTACAAACCATCAACTTTAAAATTTTAAAACCATTAAATAATGGTTTCCTGTAGTGTGTTTTGGGACATATTACATTAGGATTTAGTGGCTTTAACAAAAGCCATGAATAGAAGGTGACCAATTACCAGTAGAGACCAACAGGCACCATTACAGTTTCCATTAAAACCAATACAATTTTCATTACAACCAGTAAAACCATTACAAATTATGTGATGGCTTCTATTTTCTTTAACAGAGGATTGAAATAAATGCATTATTGTATGAACTAAAATACTTGAAATCTACATAAAAAGAGCAGAATGCAAAATGTATATGACAATGATAAACAAACGTAGAATCTAGAAACCTGAAACAACAGAATTCTTCAATTTGAGTATTCATATGTCTGTGTGTGTGTGTCATGTTAATCAGACTAATCACCTTATAGGCTACTTCATTTACTCAATTTTCTAACTCAATAGCTCTCAAATGTAACCCGTTGAAGAATCGCTGCTGTCTCTTTATGACTGAATGGAATAATCATGCCAGACAATGCAGAGTGATAAATAGCAGTGGACGTTCGGACTAGGGTTGTCCTGGGATTTTACTACAGTGTTATAGACTACATGCTGTGTATAGTTAGAGAGGCGGGCAAAGGTAACCTGATGTAACTGTTCACTTTTTTTTCCTTTTAGCTTCTCCCAACCGCCTTTATCTTCACGTCTTTTGTTTGCCATCACGAGCCCACTTTCCTTCGCGTCAGTTTTGGCTTTTTATAAGCAAAAATAGATTGCATTAGCACCCCCGTTTGCCGGCCGTCAACATCCCTTAATCTAACACTTTTTATTTGAAGATGAACCAAACAGAACTCTGGACTTCTCCAGAACATCCAGATGGCCAGTCCACTCCTGGGCCCATCTGATACTGGCGAAACATATTTGCAGCGTTGAGCAATGTAGCAGACATATCTGTTGATTTCTTGAACGCAATAACCAGAAGTGTTTAAGTTAGAATCCACTGGCTACTCAAAATGCAGAGTTTTTGTGAAGTGCCGAGTTCTGCAAGCTCGGGAATCTTCTCATTACAACAAAGTGTAGATACGATGTAATTAGAGATCCATTGTGCAGTATAGAGAGCTTATTAACGGAACGTTAGTGATTACATGAAGGAGCGCTCTTTACGCGCATTCTAAGGCTGTATAATACTCTGACTGTCTCAGAACAGAAGTCAGTGAATGAGTGAGCAGGATGATTTTCATATCATTTTGAAGTAAATATTCTAGCCTACAAGACTGATTACTCAAAAATCTTATACAGAACTATTCAGTATGGGTTTTATGGCCTGATTTCAGCTAATTTTTTACCCAAAACTTACTAACCATGCATAATCTTTGTTTGTTTTTTTTCTAAAAAATGCAAAAATGTACATCCATCTTGCTTACATATTATTGTAGCACAGTTATTGCTGCTTTTACAGAGTGTAAACCAAATCTATGGTTATTTACATTTAAAGTAAATAGCATATGTCGCTAAGAAAATGTTATTTTCACTTAGTGTAAGCAGCATCTATTGCTATTTACACTAAATGCAAATAACTACTGCCTTTGAAATAAATCGACATCAGAAGAGAAGAGTCTGTGAGCAATGATTTCTGGTTGAATCTGTGTTTTGAATGAATCAGCTGAGCAAATTATTTGAATACATTCATAAAAGCACTTGCTTCATTCCTTCATGAATAAGTCCTTTTGAATGAATCAAATCGAATGTGAATGATTCCATGACTCATTCAGTAAGACAGTGATTTGCTGCCAACTACTGGTGGTTTTAGTTTAATATTTAAAGCAGTTTATTTTCCCACCATAATTTCATATTTCAATGTTTCTTCACAAGCGTATTTCACTTCAAAGTGTTCTCATATCCGCAATGCTTAGTCGCTGTATCCTGTCAGAAACTACATACAGTAGACCGCTTGCTGCTGCTGTATAGACAAAACTGCGTAATCACTGCTGTTTATATGCTTAGTAATTACCTCTTGCACTGAACTGTCCTTTCCTTCCTTTTTATAGTAGCTAATTGAGGAATTAATAAGGCAGACTACACAATAATGCACAGTGGTATGGCGTAAACAAACGTTTACTGATCTAAGATATATAATTTCAGAAGGATGCATGTTGCATATTGCACATTACAATGTTTCTCTCATCTGACAACTATTTCAGATCTTAAAGTCTCCATAATAAGCTGATAAGTTAAATAAGGTTTGTTTGATTAGGGAAACTCACAAAATGTGAGGATTTGGGGGTATTCCAGGGATTCCCTAAAGGTAGCTGAAGGAGCCTATAAACTCCAGTTTTTAGTGGAGAATAGGGCTGCAATTTAACGATTATTACAATGATTAATCAACTAATTGCCGATTGTTTCACTGATTAATCACCAGAGGTGGAAAGTAACTTATTGAAATACTTTCGTTACAGTACTTGAGTACATTTTTAAATTTTTCTACTTTCTGGAGTATAATTAAATTGTTTTTAACTTGTTTTTAGTAAAATTATTTTTCACCAAAAGTACAAAGTACAAAAAAAAAAAGACAGATGGAGAAACAGAGCGATAAATGGGCACTTTTCAAATAGCTGGGGTGGAGCCCTGCGCTTCAGGCAATAACAGACAGGTCTGACTCCGGTGCAAAACTTCCAGTTCAGCTGGTGGTGGTGGGGGCGGGGCATTCAAACCGTTCTTTGCTTTGACAGTCAATCGGCGTTGGTGTTTTGAATCAACATTGTTAGTGTTTCAATATTTTAGTATGAGCTATGCTCTGATTTTAAATTTTGTCAGCTCCTGAAATGTGTCATACCATTGATATTACTAGAGCACCCAACAGTTTAGTAAATAGAGACTCGGTTGATAGAAGGACACAGCTAGTGCATGGATGGAGCAAGAACAATGTAAGTGTCTAAAATGCATGCACACAGTTCAGTTGAATAGTAAAGTTCGCCCTCTTTAACAGTGCTGTTACTAAATATACAAAGTTTCATAAGCCGCCGAAATTGTATAAAATTCTATACTGTTGTGTTTATTGTCTTCATTAGTGCTGTCAAAAGACCCGGTACATCGGTACCAAGTCGGTACTAAAACAAAATTAAAACGTTACGGTACCAGTTTTTTTTTAAGTACCGGTGGTACCGAGTACCCGGTCAACCCGGTTCTTGATGCGCTATCCGAAAGGTGCGCAGAAGCGCTCTCTTCATAAAAGCACTGAGACGTGGCGACATCAAACCGAGGAAACACACCAAACTAACAAAACACTTTAAAGACACCCAGATCAAATGAAAGAGTTCAAGCAGGTAAGTTTAATTGTAATTTTTAATAACAGTGTTTCCCATACATTGATTTATTTGTGGCTGCCTGCCACAATATCAAAACTGACCGCCACAAATAGATTTTCCAAATGGCTTTGACTTAGTTGAATAAACATGAGCACTGCACGTGTCAAAGTCGAAACCCGGTGCGGGTGTTTTTATATCACTGTATTTCTGAAGGAAACCGAC